TATATCATTGTGCATTATTCCTACAAAATTATTTTCTCAATATCGATCTTAACTAACCTTGTTTGTCAAGAATCAAACTAATCAATCTTATCATAAACAACTCAACTTCGGTCCTAGATTGACATATTTCATATCTTGTATTGCTGACATTATAAACAAGTCTTTTCTCATATACTGTTATAAGTTATATGTTTGATAACAAACAGATGTGTCAAATAGACACACGTACTATGCCAGATTGTTGTTCCTTTACAGCAATATGATTATATGATTTCGTTGCATTTTGCCTATTTAAATATCATCAAATTAATGTAATAATTAGTAGAGATATTTTATATAAGAATATATAGTAATATCTGGCATTGTGTTATTCAAGCCCTAAAAACCTCCCCTGGCTGAGTGGTACAGATCGTTGATTTCAAATCGCTTGCCCTTCGTCGCTGTGTCATGGACTTTGGATTTTTATATGAGGAAGCTATCACGCTACATTACGGTAGGCCGGTGTGTGTACTCAGGTACTTGCAAGATATAATGCACGAAGAATCACCTAAGGCCTTCGTCTACAAAAAATCAGGAAGTGTCGGTGTAACTGTTTAATACAAATCAATAAACAAATCACTGCCAGGGAGTAGGAGCAATAACAATGCAGTGTTAATAGGTCTTGGGGAGCTGCAAAAAGTGAGATCTAATCCCAAAGTTTCGTACGCTGATAATATGTCTTCATTGGAAAAAATCTAGAAACAAAGTGATCCCTCGGAAGCATTAATCACAACAAAATTACAAGAGAATTGCAGACTTGGTTTGATTGAGTCTGTACATGAGAGATAATGGATACGTGCAACATCCCTCACGCCCTTTAGCACCGGCTTGAGCGGTACTCAATTCTCAACACTAAATAGTGCTGGCATCAATGATCCCAAAGGACCAGAATAATATAACAACACTGAAGTGAAGTACGGGGCAACTTTTTACAGCTACTACACAGCACTTGACACTTGCTGTTGTGAAATATAAAAATCTGGAAACAAAGTGATCCCTCGGAAGCATTAATCACAACAAAATTACAAGAGAATTGCAGACTTGGTTTGATTGAGTCTGTACATGAGAGATAATGGATACGTGCAACATCCCTCACGCCCTTCAGCACCGGCTTGAGCGGTACTCACTTCTCAACACTAAATAGTGCTGGCATCAATGATCCCAAAGGACCAGAATAATATAACAACACTGAAGTGAAGTACGGGGCAACTTTTTACAGCTACTACACAGCACTTGACACTTGCTGTTGTGAAATATAAAAATCTGGAAACAAAGTGATCCCTCGGAAGCATTAATCACAACAAAATTACAAGAGAATTGCAGACTTGGTTTGATTGAGTCTGTACATGAGAGATAATGGATACGTGCAACATCTCTCACGCCCCCTAGTACCGACTTGAGCGGTACTCAATTCTCAACACTTAATAGTGCTGGCATCAATGATCCCGAAGGACCAGAATAATAAGTCACGTTTGCCGGCCACAATCATTCATATAAGGTGAACATATCAAAATTGACATGCATCCTAATGATTAAACAAAATCTAAACAAAATTTGCGTACTGCGTACAAGTTATGGACGACTTTTTAACAAAAGTATGACTTTCAGCAGGGCTCTTTATCAGAAATGAGAAAAGTTTAAATAACTTATGAAAAATGTGGTCTATTGATGTTTGTTCAGAAACAGATAACAGCATTTAGTTGACAATTCCCCAAAACAAAATGATTGTTTCTACAAATTCCCCCAAACAAAATGATTGTTTCTACAAATTCCCCAAAACAAAATGATTGTTTCTACAAATTCCCCCAAACAAAATGATTGTTTCTACAAATTCCCCCAAACAAAATGATTGTTTCTACAAATTCCCCAAAACAAAATGATTGTTTCTACAAATTCCCCAAAACAAAATGATTGTTTCTACTCAAAATGCTTGATAAATTAATAAAAATGTTACTGTTCTCCACCCAGTTTAAGCACTCGTTGGACCATTTTCTAACTTAAAGAGCCTAATTGCAAACATCCTCAACATCACCAAAATAAGTGGCTGTTTTCAGAATTTGGCTAAACAATTTAACAATAGTGGTTGATCTTGTCAAATATTAAACACTTTTACCATTTAATTTTATTTGACTTTAGAAATATTAGGTAACATACTTGTTATTACATTTAGTTTTATTTAGCTAATAAAATATGTGATCATTTAATAATAATAATAATCAAAATTGAACACTTTATTTCCAAAAAGGAACTGAGAGATGCAGAAATAATTGTAAGAAAAAAAGCAGAGAAAACAATTGGACCTTCTATAGTGAACCCTCGACCCTCAGTTCAATGCTGTTGACTGTAGCCTATTTAAATACTCTGTGGAAGAAATGCATTAGGAAGATTATACCATAATAAAAATTGAACAAGAGGAATTGGAAAGTAAACTAAAATTACAATTAAGTTTCAAAACAAAAAATTAACCAGCTTAACATACTTTTTTTTAATTTATTGTCATATTTTGTCATACATTAGTGTATATGCGCGCACAGTTGACAAATACAAAACTTATCGTCCATGTAATTTAATATAAATAACAGTTTAATAGATAACTAAAATGACATTGGATCTATTTAGTCACAACATTAATGAATAAATGTTTAAATAAAATTAGTTCTTGTTGTAAAAATAACATATAATTACAAAAATAGCAGCTGGTTCATTTATTTATGAATATATTTGAACTTTTGTTCTCTTTATAATTACAGTTTGGTTCTTTCTCAAATATTTTTTTCAATCTTGTCCTCTTATTTTATTGACGATGAAGAAGGACGCCCGAGAACGTTGAACGTCGGTGAACATCGTTTTTAAACCAAGTGGGGTAAGTGCATTTCACAAAAACACCTTCTCCTTTCTCTACCATTCGTAACGCTGTAACCGTGCTACAACTACTCCCGGACGTTTGATACTGAACACTATTTGAAATAATTGTATGATCATGTACAATAGCTGTTACAACATGTTTTTCTGATAAGTTGCAAACGTGTACCATAAACTGATACAGGCCACTTTCTGGAGCTGTGAACCTGCCATTAACAGCATTGTAGCCATTCCCTTTGTTAAGAACAACGTTACCGAACACGAACGTTTCCCCTGTGGAATAGCTGCCTTTAGTATTGGTATGAGCACTAAAGGCAATAATTGGATTTTCATTTGAATTGGCAGCTGCAAGTACAAAAAAGGAGTTATTCTTCTTTAAACAAAAAATTCATTTATATACTTCTTACAGACCCATTGACTGAATTATATTTATTTCATAAGACAGTTTTGGTCAAAGCTGTAGACAGTTATGTTAACTATTTCTAAAAAGATTACTTGATGGCTTTAAACCATGAGAATAACAGACTATAAATTATAATTGTGGCGTTTAAACAGCAATCATTAAACTGCTGGCCCTAATAAAATCAAGAAATATCATAGTTAGCTAGACTGAAAATTGTTATAACATAAAATATTAACCATTTAACCCAATTAAAAAAGAAACACTTACATGTACATTTCTTCGTCTCTTCAATCTGCTCAGCAATGATATATTTCATCAACCTGTCTTTTAGTTCAACTTCATTTTCCAGAATTCCGACCTTAACTTCCAACTTCGATATTTTATCCAGTAATTTTTCATAATTTGAAGCATCGGCTTTGACTTTTTCTCCATAAAAAAAGATGCCTAGCATGAGAAAAGAAAGTACCGACTTCGAAAACATTTTTCAGCCTGCCGAAATTTGTGCGATTTTTTAAATTAGTGACTGCTTTTTAAAGTTTAAGCTTAAACCTAATTTGATTACAAGGAAGGAGGAAATTTAAGGCACAACAAAAGACGCTGAAAACAAAGTAATTGTGTATACACTTTACTTTAAGGATTGTAAGTAATTCTATAACAAAGAATTTCAAGTGTCTCTTGAAAATAGCAATGAAATAACAACTTATATTAGTGAGATGTTTATCAATTGGTTTGCTCGCTTTTGTATGAATTGTTTATTTCAAACTGTTTTATTTACAATTGCATTAACATACACTCATATTGTAATTTTAAACCTAGCCACGCTAAAAACCCTTTATTGACTTGTCTATTTTGCAATCTTGACACACCCAATCTTCAATTATAAATATAAATTCTTATCGTTTTTAGGATAGCGAACAATGTCGACTATAATCACAAGTCGTAGATTGTTTCAGGGTTATCTGGGATTGCACTGATAGCATTTGTAGATTAAATTGCCGCAAAAAGGCTAAAAGTTAAAAAAGGCAACAATAGAAGTGTCTTTACATTGAATGTCCATTGCTTAAATTCAATTTCCCGAAAACTTTAAAATGTTTTAAACCTTGTTATATTTTCCAAAAGATTCTCTTTTGCTCCTTAAATAAACAACCGTTTGCTTCTTTAACTCATTTGGCAATCGGTATAATTATAATAGCGAATAACTATTTTGTATTGATTTAAAAATACTACTTTGTTTACATTTTGCTACCCTTAAGGTACATTATTAGTAATTCATCTCTGCTGTCTTTAGTCGTAAACATTTAATGTTCTCTAAATTTACAGTTATAACATTACTAAAACATGTTTGACCTTTCCAAAGAATTAGAAAAATAAAGAAAGATAATGTGCCTTTAACAAAACAAATGAGGTAAAGAATGCCGCCATGATCGCATGCTTTAAAATATTGTTTACCGGTAACTGCTTACCTCTTCCTGTGCCATTGAATAATTTAACATTCTTATTATGTTCACCATTGTAACCATGTTTCATATTTGTTAAATATATGTGAAGCTACTACATTACTAGAGTGTGTTGGTATGCATACAAACAATGCTAATGAGATGTGGCTAATTGTGAATTAATACGAAACGGATACAAATGGAAAGTGTGTAACAGAAACATTATTTATTACAAGTAAAAGGCGTTTGTGTCGTTGAAATGCTTACATTTTACAGCATAAAAACATTAGAATAGCCACATATAATTTCGTTGATTTAAGATAATATTTAAAATAATTGTAGGGGCCATTATAGTGTTGAGAATGATCGCTGGTGGCATCAATTTTCGCGTGTCATATTGAAATCAATGAATCTCATTTTAAGCCGAAAATCATTTGAAGCATTCTAAAAAATGTCATGCACATGCTCCACTTCAAATGCGGCTTTAATTTAACAATTTATAAACATCGGGGATGGTCAAATCGGCACAAGGTTAAATATCATTTGCGTTACATTTAACACTACCAACAGTATTTCATGTGAGGAAGTTATCCAGCTATCTTACGGAACGTCGGTGGTTCTACTCAGGTGCCCGTTCGTGCCTGAAATAATGCACGGAAGGGCACCAAAGGTCTTCCTCCACCAACAAAGCTGGAACGTCGCAAAATGACCTATACTGTGTCAGTGTGACGTAAAACCTAAATCAAACAAATCAAAATTATTCAGGTTTTAATCCTTTTATTTGTATAAATTGATGTTTCTTTTTTTTAAGGATTTTACTGGACCATGTTTCGAAAAATAGTCACAGTAAACATTATAGCTACAGGATCACCAAAAGCTATAACATGACGGAGTGAACCGTGTACCGAAATTTTGCTGCTCCTTTGACTTCGCCAATTATTCTTGATTATAGCCTATCCGGAAACTGATCGAAATAGTCGATAACAAAACTATTATTCCTATTCATTGACATTTTCATAATGTATACATGATGGTTCAATGTACCCCATGTTACTAATTCCACACAAAATGAGCTCCAAGTTTTAGTTCAATTAATATTTCTTTTATAAAAAATGTTTTTGCAACTAATTTTAACAACTTTCATGTTCGATTCCGTAAACTAACTTGTACATGGCCGTGACCCAAGCAGGGCTTGTACTCGTGCTCCACGGGTTGAAAAGCAGAATTCTTGACCACTTTGCAATTACTCTATTACAAGTGTTCAGAAACTTATGTAAGTAAGTCAACGGCAAGGTAAATTCTGTTTGCAAGGGTGTAGCCGACGTTATTATGAACCTTATGAAGCAAGTAAGTATCAATTCTTTGTCGTTATAAATCTAATGATATTTAGCCTTTCGCCTTTGAGTTCTAATATTTGGTGATAAGACAATTTATCACTTTATGAGTATACAGTCTAACTTGCCCATGCGACCACGTGTATTAAGCGACTTTTGTCTTAAACGACCACTTTAAATTCCCCCCGATCATTTTCTCTCTATGTTTTTAATGTATTAAGCGACTTTTGCTCAACGCGACCAGCGACCGCTAATTAGTCACCTAATTGAGAGCAACCTTTTCATTAAACGACCACTTTTACCTGTCAAGTAATTGTGATTTTAGACAACGCCGCCTCGTAATGTCACATGTGTCAACAATCAAAACACAACAAATAAATGTGTGAAAATCTCTATTTCCCAAACCGTTTTAGCGTAAGCAGTATACGCGTGACGTGTATTATCCAATAATATCGATTAAACAATGCAACGCTCCGCCCCTACTTATGTGGTGTATACGCTTCGCTTGTTGACAATTAGACTGCATTGAATTGACCTTGAACTTGATCAGTAATTAAATTAGATGTATTTTGTTTATTTCGAATGAAAAATGCACGACAGAAAAACATCCTCACTAATAGGGTTTTCGTGTTGGAGACAAGGAAAAGCAACGGAGAAGTTAAAAAAATCTGGAACAAATGTCAAACATGTACATAATGAATCAAAACTGTTTTGTAAATAAATAACAGAAAGTTATTTTTTTACAGATTATCGAACGTACTAATTATTCAACATTTATATAAAAATGAAGTTGTTAAACATTCCCACCGCATAAGAAAGATGTCATTTGTAAATTTTGACTTTTATATCATGCTTTTTCTTAAGAGACCGTTTCATTAAGCGACCATTTTGGGTGTTTCCCTTGCGCTGTCGCTTAATACAAGTTTGACTGTAGTTTATTTTATGCTTTTCAGTGGATTACTGATTTATCCGTGAACATTATATTTGATAATTTCACATATTATCAAATATAATTTCACACTTTTCAATGACGAAACAACTTTTTTAAGATTTTCCCCTATGTGGTACCTCAATTTTATTTTTACTGACAATTCTGACAATGTCAGGCTGTTTAAAGAAAAAGCAAAGCTGAAAATGATAAATAACATAAATGTCAAAAGTAATAAAAAAATTTACTTCTATTCATTCAAATTCAAATCACCAAATTTTGTCTCCAATTTTTTTGTTTCATTTTTACAGTCTGAAAAATACATTCCTTCCACAGGCAAAACTGCTCTTGATGACATTACGGCATATTAAAGTATCCGACGAGCAATAACTGCCATCTGCTTTATGAAAAATTGAAAAGCAATGACAGCCACCAGTCGAAGAATAAGTAAACAACCCAGCGTTCCTGAGCCAGCTTCCAAGTTTTTCATTTTCCTAGTGGTTTTTGAATGTTTTCACATCTGTCAACACTTATTTTTTGTCTGTTACAATCCTCAAATAAGTTTTCTTTCTTTTTAAAAGGTGTATGACTAAAAAATCCAAATGATATCCCTCAAAATCAAACACAATTATTTTCCTCCCGTGAAATACACAACTTTAAAAAATGGCTGCCGCTTACATTTAACAAAGCCAGGTCTTATATAAATTCGCAATAAGTAACAGAAATTTGGATGGACGGTTAGACTTGTTCTCCGACAAGAATTGTTTGCTTTAATTATTAAAACAAGCGAACATGCATATTTTTTTTAATAAAATGAATTATATCACCGTCATTTAACGTTGATTGTCGAACTTATTTTTCAGCTCAAGACTTGTATTTAATTCCGACTAAATGGGGCTCTCAATGGGGAAAACAGATTTTAATATTAACGTTAATATTATGGAAATTTCGTTTTAACTTGTTTTTAAGCATAAAATAAAAAGAAAATTTGTTTGTTTGTTGTGTGAGATGTAATTTTATTTCATCTCGTGAACTTTAAAAACAGTATGCTCACGAGTGGCGTAGCCACTCGTGAGAATACTGTTTTTAAAGCCCACTCGATTAAATAAAATTTCATCTTACACACAAACAAACAAATATCCTCTATTTAATTTAGATGGTAAGATAAACAAGAAAATCCGTTGAATAAACATGTGCGATGTACAATGCAACTCACTAAAGTAGAAACTTCTTAATATCATACACATCACAATATGAAGAAATTTGTTTTGTACCTACAAAAGTTAACCAATTTAGAAGTGCATGTACCAAGTAAAATGACAACCTTTTGACATAAAATGGCATTTCAATAGAATTGACATTCAGAAATGTCATTTTGTCATTAATTTTAAGTATGTTAAATGGAAATCACAATTTTAGGATTCAAGTGTAATGAAAGTGAGAAAATTGTAGCTAAATTATAAAATTCATTGGTTTCAATTTAATTTAAAATGAATTTGATTTAAGCATTAATTCTAATTTATTTGGCAGTCCTAAATATGAGAGCTACACTATCTTAACTTAACAGTTAAATTTTAATTGTCGAGGTTTACTCACTACATCTGGAAAGCATAAAATAACTATGTTACAGATTACATGTACGAAAGGACGTTTATAGTAAATATGAAATTATAGGTGCTATCTATGACACGGAAAGACATTGTGATTTAATGACTCAATCTGCAAGCATAAAAATTCAATATTTAAATCAGATTTTTATAGTTTGTAAATAATGAGTAAATGTAGGCATTTTGTAATAAAAATGAATTTGGTGGTATTCAGCCAATCTCTGAATTTAGTGTATCTCGTCCGCTATTTTCAAGCATGTTACATCCGATGAAAAACATAAAAATTGACATTTTGTTTGATCGACCGAACAAGAAAGACAGAGATAGAGTTCCTGTTCAAGAATACCCGAATAAGACATTCTGTTCGGTGAACCGAACAAAACTGCTATACAATAGCACATACCATTGGATAGGGGAAAACTTTAAATGAAAAGATATCATTGACATTTTGTTCAGTTGACTGAAGAAAAACAAAATGATATGAAAATCCCGTTTAAGAATTCCTGTATAGGACATTTTGTCCAGTCGACCGAACAGAAAAAACACATGATTAAAATTCCTCTTTAAGAATTAATTATAAGAAATTTTGTTTAGTTGATCGAACAAATATCTAACACAAGAATTTTTGAATAGAATTTTTATGATTTTTTTTTCGGTCAAAAAAGTAAAAAGTCAATTTTTATATTTTCATTGGATGTAATATGTCTTTTTGACCTTGTGAAATGTGCTATTGTAAAGCAATTTTACTTCGATTGACCGACATAAATATCTTGTACACGTTTATGTTAATTTGTTGATCTAAGCTTTTAATTGTTGCAATATCAATCTTAACTTTCAGGCTTATAAACATAATCATATTGCCTAAATGTATTAAATGAGCGTATTTTATATTGTACTTTTATATATTTATCAATAGCTTGTATGAGTGTTTTAAGGAAATTCCAATGTAGAATTATAAGATATGAAAACAAAAATCAACAAAGAGCGGTGGCATTCAATTAACGTATATTACTTGCCCTATTATAAAATTAAAGCTTCAATCATTTTGTTGCGTATTGTGATAAAGGTTGTACTGTTAAATGTGTTGGAAACTGTAAGAATTATTTTTAAACTTTATTTTATCTGGAGGATAAAGATACATTTTGTTTACTATTTAAAGCTTGATAAATTCTTAACCTTTGTAATTAAATAGTACCACATGATTTTTTACTTTACACGGAAATCAAATTTAATGATAAAAGTAGGCTCAGGCGATAAACAGTAATTTGTATGTGTGTTTTTTCTTTTTTTGAGCTGATACCTTTACAATTTCTTTTCATTTTTGCAAAACCATATGATGTAAATTACCCAAATATAATTGATATCTTTAATGCAGTTCAAATGTTTGATAAATGACCTTTTACTGTGACCAGGTCCATGGGTTTGCATCTCATTTAAAAGCCATTTTCTTACTTTCAATTAAATTTTCAAAACATTTCAAACATTATTTGCAGACACAAAATGGTTGTTTTAACCTCAAATTGCAGAAAAGCAAGCTAGATGTTTAAGCGTGTAAAACATTTTACACAGCATGAAAAAACTCCTTCAATGGACTCAAACTATAGACATATAGGTTGATGTAATCTGAAGACCTTAATTAATCTGAAGTATAAAGTGTGACCAGACAAATATGGTATACAGAATAAGATGGCATTTTGTACCACGAAACATAGTCTTAGTCGTTAGCTAGACGGTTTTCGATGATTAAACCATTTTGCATAATGACAGTTTTAACAAAAACGTTACATACAAGAAAAAACACACACATACCGGTCTCAAAATATAACACGCAAATCAAAAATAAACCATCAGTTTTTTATTGAAACAATTAACTTGCACTGAATAACACACCAGAAAAATATGGATATCCGTAAGGTCCGTGTGCCTTTAAATAATCTCCATCTCCCACTGACACAAACACGTCATCTCCCTTCTTTAGCTCCGTGATTAATGTGTTGGAGTTGCATGCGTGATAATCTTGGTCGCCAGCCAGAAGGTGATTTACTGATGAACCATTCAACATTAAGTCAAGGACAATAACATGGGCATTTTGACTGCAAGCGTATATTGAAAATAGGTATGTGCCATTGATTGGGGCGAGAAAGTTACCGTGAAGAACATTGTAAGCATTGCCGATGTTTAGCTCTACTTGATTGAAGATTACCACTTGTTTCTGCCCGTTAGTAATTGAGGTTGTCAATGATGCTTTGAACGCAACCCCTGAAACAAATTTGGACAAGGAAAGATGCCTTCATTAATATGAGCCTTAAACAACTATTAAATACAAAACGAATATCCAAAACCTAATAATTGAAAGAAGGGTCATTTTGTGAACATTTTAATCGATATTTATTTAGTTCTGGCACCCAGCACTCTAGAGATTGTTGAAATGGGAGTTAAAAATCCCGTTACATTTTGTTGTGATCAACATAATGTTTGTTTCTTACTTAAATCAATTATTTACCTCTGAATTATGAACACCTTTTATGTTGCTTTACACAATTCATTCCTTTTTAATTTCCCGAAAAAGTATGATTAAAGTATATAATGACTTAAAAGCTGTAAATCAAATAATTTAGTTCGCAAACCTTTTACAGCTTTTATATCCTGAACTTGTTGACTTAGCCTAGCGTTCTCGGACGTCAGTGTCTCAACTGCTTTAGACAAATTGTGAAGTTCATTAATGATGGTGTAGTAGTTATCGTCTAGAAGAATTCTTTTTGGGCGCTCGGCTCCTGTGGCAGCACAACTACTAAACAAAGTCACCGAAGTTACAATAACAAAAATGATACATCTACTAAAAGAGCCCATTTTAACATTTGAATTATCCGACTTTTTTTAATTAAATGAAACACTTGTGAATGATAACATATGTATGTCATAGGGCAGTGACAGATGGAGATAAGGTTGTATATATCTGAATAAGGTGAAGTCCCAATGGAAACAATTTATATTCCCCTGGCAGCCATTTAAGGGGTCATCCCCAGTATGCCATATGATTAAGATAAGATAAAAAAAATCTCTCATAATTCTTCCATCTTCTTAAAAACTGATTAACCTTCCACATATCGATGCTATAATAATATTTTGCTGCATATGTATAAAGGAACATGACAATAAGCGTAGATCAGTTGTTTATTTTTTATGCTTTCTCAATTATATTCTATAACATATTGACCCCTAATAATATCATTATCCGTACGACTTTATTTATGTCACAAGAACAGGTAGTATAATAAATTGGGACGAGAAATTACAATTAATTAGAAGGAAAAAAAACTTCGCAACATACCGTCTTATACAATAAATGCAAATCAAAAATGATTCAACACTGATTTTTATTTCAAAGCATCTGATAGAAATATTTTACATGTAAGTAACTTACACTCAAAAGGACACCAGAAAAAAATGTAGATATCCATAAGTATCATATGCCTGCAAACAATCTCCAGATCCTCTCGACACGTACCTAAAATCTCCCTGCTTCAGACCTCAGTTCCATGATGAACGTGTTTGTTTTGCATCCGAAATAATCTTTGTCGCCGACCAAAAGGTGATCGACCATTGAACCATTTGACATTATGTCTATTAGTATTACGGCACGATTATAACAAGAAACAGGTAGCTGCATTTGACGGATGCGATAAAGTTACCGTGAATAAAATTGTAAGCATTGCCGATGTTTAATTCTACGTGATTGAAGCTGGATTTCTGTAATTGTCATTCTGCGTGGCCCGGAAGACAAAATCTGTAAAAAAGACGAATTTGTACCAAACAAACAACAACAAGACCAATAATACAAAGTGAGGAAAAGTGGGTAAAATTGTGCTGGTCGTGCAAAGCCAAAAAGTGCATTTTCATACTACTTTTATATCATTTTGTAAATTAAATTAGTTCAAATATATAATCAGTCCAATATTATATTTTTCGGCTTTCTATTCATCAATGACTTATGACTTATTTTAAATATATTTGAAATAGTACACATGACTTGGCCTTCTCAGAAATATGTTAAGAAGTGTTAATTCTTTTTTATTTCATTTTTAGTTGACATTATGCCAATTCAAGAGTAAATGGTAAATGTGTAGGAAAAAATCGAAATAACTATACATTTTGTCATTCTGGTTTCCATTTTTTACGATAAATGTCATCTGAATAGGTAATAACCCCATATGGCCTACACAAATAGCTCAAATCATTGAAAAAACGATAATGTCACTTCAAGGAGTTAAATCTCAACTTTTCGACTTTAGGAGAGAAGTTTCAGAATTTCAAATATCAACATCTTTCGATAAATTGCTTGCTTGTTGGCTTTCTACTTCAGTGTTTCAACGTCCTTCGACAAATACGTTCTTATAGCAGTTATCTAAAGTTTTCAATTCCAGCAATATACGTGAAAGTGCCAATTTTAAGAAATATGGCTAGTTCAAACAGAGGATCTAAAATTAACACTCTTATAAGATACAATATGTTTAGGGACCGTTATATATATGGAGTAAACTAAGTATAAATAGTTCAAAGGTGAGTGGAAATTAGATAGAGTCGTTTACTTCATAAGACAGTAAGGTCTTAAGTTCATGAAAGATAAGCTTGTTTAAAGTGTACAAACCTTAGACAAAAGCTTTATCTGTTTAACCTGAAAGAACTCGGTAGATGTGTCAACTCAAAAAATGTCAAAAAACATTTATTTCTCTCATTCCATGTACAAGCATGACATAATGAGATGAGTAGAGGCCTTTTTTACTACAAAGTTTGCATGGAGTATACAGTTTCAAAGTTTTGTTCAATCAAGTTATTCTAAAGTACAAGTATCTGTTAATGTGTTTATATCATGCATAATAAATTTTAATGCCTGAAATATCCCATCACGATGGTATCACTCACAGATGAAAAGCGTACGTCTCCCGATTATTCTTGATTCAGCGAAATACTATTTAATAAACAAATAACCACACCAATGGACAGTGAAATAAATTCTGACTAATTTAAGCATAAACAAAATTCAATTATGATTATAACATTAACATTGCACGGAATATTGCTATGAACGAGTAAATCCTATACATACAAAATCGACCAGTTCTTATTTCTTGTAATTTCAAACTTCATAAGATGGAAGTGATAACAGTAGCGCATTCAAATGAAAGAAGCGCATTATTATTATTCTGAAGTAAGTCATACAGTATGAACAACTTTAAAAAAAAAATATGAAAATTTTCTCTCCTAGAAAGAAAAATGACATGACTTCAATAATTTCTTATTTATTGTACGTTTTAAACACTTTCAAGCTTTCATAGTAAGAAAGAAAAGGAACATCAACCTCCAGTGTGCTGATGTATACACTTATATTTCTAATTCGAAATCAACAAATTCTATTTCAGTTTCAATATAAAACAATATCCTTTCCAGTTGCACCAGTATTAATGTCAGAACATTGAAAAACCTAAGACATGGATGATTGTATTCGAGAAGTCCTTTCATGTGACTTTAAATGTAAGTGATTATCAATTCAAGTCAAGAACGTGCAAGAGCTAAAACTGGAATGAATTTGTTTTACACATTATGCACTAGTTAGTTGTATACTAACTGAAGACACTACTTTGTGTGAATTCAAAGCATGTTTATTTCATATTTACAAAGAGACTGTGTAGCAATTATCAATATTTTCTGATATAAAAACTGAGCAGAGTATATATTTAAAAACAGTTGTCATGCATACGGACAAAGTGAAATAATGTCTAGTTTGATGACAAACTATTTTTTGCAGAACCAATGCATAATGATAAGAAACAGTAAACACTAAATGTTTTACTTTTTTAACATATGCAAACATATAAAGCTTAAATTAAGGCTAGTTTTACACAAATGATAATAGCAAGACGTGCAAACTAAATAACAATTAATTTCAATGTTTCATCTTATTTGTTATTGCATATTGCGATTTTATACATTTTAAATCAGTACATGTTTAGAAATACCGATTTTTACTGTAAGAAAATTAACTACAGCAACTCAATTTCACGTGATCAGGATTGCCACTCTTGACCTCTAGTCTTTATATCATGTAAATGTATCAAATAATCATATTGGCTGCACGTAGCCATCAACATTTAAGAAAATCAGTAAATCATATTGAAAGTACGTTCATTGAAACTGCAAGACTCTTGCATTCAATGAACTGGAGAGTGTTTGCAAACTTTCAATAATTATCATATCATAGAAATAGGTTAGAGCGTCAGGTAACATTTGCTGGCACGAGAATTTCATAAAAAGAACGAAGAAAGTGATATTGCAACATACTCGATTAAAACAATGGAACGTGAATGGCTGAAATACAAATTTATCAATAACTTTAATCAATTACATAAAGTGTCAATTATTTCAAATGTTTCAAAATGTGTGATTGCAGCAATTAATTTCACTCAAGAGGACACCAGAGAAATGCGGGTAGGGTATCCAAATGTAGGATTTGCCCCCAGCAAGTCCTTGTGACACATAGACATCATCTCCCTTTTTAAATTCCATTATAAACGTGCGTAAGCTGCGTGCTGAAATAGCCGAGTTACCAGAGAGAAACAGTCCAACGATTTCGCCATTTCGCATAAGGTCAAGGACAAAGTAATTACCAGAATCGCTGCAAGCATATAACGAAAAAAAGGTAGGTGTCATTGGCAGGCGCAAGAAAATTACCATGAAGAACATTGTAAGCATTGCTTATGTTCAATGCTATATGATTGAATACTTTAACTTGCTGTTTGCCGCCTGTGATTGTCCTTCTCAATGTATCTCTGAAGGCAACATTTGTAAAATATATCGTCCAGGATATATTTTAAAAGCACTGAGTAAAATTTTGCTAATTGTACTAATATCTTTATTTATGAGCCCCTTATCTTTAACACGCATTTAGTTCGAGCTTTATTCAACTGTCTGTTAACTAATACCCACATTAATATTTGTTAATAATCAGTCAAAATAGGAAACACGCATATTAGTTGTTGCGTTTTTAGAAAGTGTGGTTCAAAAACACTTTTTTATTACATGTCCTGGTCTCCTTCAAGGTATCTTAAACAGCGTTTTTAAGTATCAAACGATTTTTATTATAAGAGTATGGATTTATCAATCATGTTTCTTCAAGGAGGCATAAGATATGTATGGGAATTTTTCTAAAACTTTCAAAACTAACAAAACCTAAAATTACTTTTGATTGCCTTAAGATCATGAACCTGTTGGCTCAAAACAACATTTCCAGACTTCAGAATTTCAACTTTTCTCGACAAGTTCTTCGCTAATTGACTCAACATGGTATCCTTAGATTTCAATGACTCCACTTCTATCGTCAAGTTATGAATTTTGTTTACGATAGTATAGAAGTTATCTTCCAGAAGAATTCGTTTCGGTCGATTGTTTTTCACGTCAGCTCAAGCGGTGCTAGGCACGGTCATTGTAAATATAAGTAAATATAATAAAACTGATACAATTACAAAAAGTGCACATTGTAACGTGTTACAAGGATCCCAAACAAATGACTAACATTTTACATATAAATATCGTTAGTAGATTGAGGGGCTGTGATATAAGGACAAAACAGTTGGATAGTAGGAGGAAAATCTGTTTCCTTAGATTATAGGGCGTTAAGTTCGTGAAAGATAAGCATGTGAATGTATAGATAGTTAATGTTGAATGTTCTGTTAATTTCTTTGAGTAAGTAAATCATAGCAAAACACTTGTTTATGTGTAATATAAAGATCTCTTTTAAATATATGAAGTATTCAACTATAATATCTGATGTGGTGTATTTAAAGTAAAGAGTTTGCATTGTTCATTTTGGGAAAAAAATAAAAGAAATTTAATTTCATTATGTTGTCATTCAGGATCGATCTCTGG